AGAGCTAATGACCTATGAGTCACGGTATTGGGCCTTTTTATTCTTTATAGGAATATTACACCTTGAAACAACTGCACTATTATAAGTATTCTTTTGTACATACGTTAGAAGACCAATGTAGTAAAAAAAATGGAATAAAAGTCAATTATTTCACCAATATATATGTACTGTTGATTCCAAGTGGAGCAATATTTGGGGTAAATATTGCCTCATGTTTGAATTCCTAAAGCATCTTGAAGCACACCTAATATTATAAGAAAATAGTGTACATACTATTAACATTGAAAGCAATTAAAAAACTGAAAAGCAGTTATAATTTGGTGTAGTAAATTGTAAAATGTAAATATTGCTGGTGCATTTAAACCTCCGTTGCCAACAAGTGATAATTTTTAGCCAGCTTCAGCACACCATAAAATCGTAAGTTTTTATCGGATTCCACTCATTTTAGTCTTACTCAATTCATAAATATGCACTCTTTCCCCTCCGCGCAGTTTTTTCCGTCGGTATGCTACAGATAAAGGGTTAAATAACTATTTTATTAAATAGTAGAAATATTTTCTGAAGCTAATGACAGCAAATGCAAAATTTAATGGAATACTCACAGAAATTGAATGCTCGAATTTTGTGGTTTGGACACAATTTATGCATCAGCAATTTTGCCCACCTTGAGGTCTATTTTAGATCATTTCTATTATCAAACCGACTAATTACTGGCTATATTTGGCTGGTATGAGTTCCATTCTATTGATTGAGTGCAAGAAACTGCAAGTGTGCAAACTTTGGTACTGTAGCCAATTTTACACAGAATTCAACAAATTCCAATTCCCATTTCCAGCCACTAAAGCAACTTTTCCTCTGTTTATTAACCCTTTGACAGTTTCGGTCACATATATACATCTTACAAGTGACCATGTTTGACGTATATATACTCATAAATTCTAGCAGCTTCAAATCAAGCAGGAGAAAGCTGGTAGGCCCACATGTGACAGAATGGGTCTGTGTGGTTAGTGTGCACCATATAAAAAAAAATCCTGCAGCACAGTGAAACAAACTGGAAGGTTAGTAGGGCCCCTACCCTTCCTCTGGAAATTTACCAAAATTTAACATATCTGCAACTTGAAGGGTTTTTTCAAGTCACTTCAGGTCTAAAACTGACTAAAGTAAGCCATTTCACCAGAACGTCTTCCATTTTATCACTTGATGCCAAAAAACAGGCAGTGAAACCATTACATCCACCCCAGAACTTGCCGCAAAGTTGCTGTTTTAAGCCAGACACAGCGTCAAGAGGTTAGCTGTCCCATCCTGTGTGCGGTAGGATTCTTTTTATACATGCAGTGCACATCCACCACACAGAACCATTCTCTCATGTTAAGGCCAGACTTTACTGATCACAGCATATTTGAAGGCACTATAATTATGATGTAGCTCTCCTCCCTCCCCCATTCCAAAAAGAAACAGATTTTACAAACTAAATTTTCACACTTATGGTTGTAGCAGATTGCTGAAACAAGACAGTGTGTGAGCATGAATGTGGGTCATAATGTATTTTCACACTATACGGCCATGAGTTAAGTATTGTAAATGTAAGTGGCTATTGTAGCACTGTTAAGCCAGCTTATTGAAACACCTCCTTACATTTAGGTGGGAAGATTGGTTACAACATCAGAAAAATAGTGAGTGGCACTTCTGTAACCGTAATGTAACTGCACAAAAAAAAATTATAAGGAAGTTTTCCTAACAACATCAAAAGGGAGAAAAAATCACATCTATAATTAAGAAATGTGTAGAAAGGATACTAGAAAGTTCTTGACTAACAATGGTAGAGTAATGGAATGGGTTACAATATAATGTAGCAAGTGTTATACCAACTGGGTATTTAATCAGTTGTATTATGGATTAGGCACCAAAGATATTGCATTGTGAGCTTAGCTTTCTCTCTTCAGTAAACAGTAAGTCATTACTGTACAAATAATTGTTATGTTTGAGTATGTATATATTTAGTCATTCATCATTCATTTATCACTAGTTGTTTAATGCTCTGTATATTACAAATTTATAATGCTGTTCTTTTTTGTCTTGTAAAAAAAATGCTAAGTCCATAGTTTAAATTCAGTAGTTTTTTCTGAAACTACTGGCATGTAGAAATTCAGAAATATATGACATTGATTTCAAGTGGTCTAACTTTTTATGTTCCTTTTGGAAATATGGTGTGTCATGATGCTACTTGCCCTTAACCCCTTAACTGTCCAAATGTAGGTCTATGTTCTTACTGCTAGCGCTCCAAATGTAGATCAGCATTTTAGTTGTCCTGCCTCCAAATTTGGCACGATTGGCCTGAGATGCCTGGTTAGTATAAAATGGGTTTTAACACTCGGTGTGTGCAGTACTAAAGAAATCTGGGACCACTCATTACCTTGTGGAAGCACCAATTCAATTGAACACCAGTTAGAGCAAACAGGGTGGCAAACACCAGGGATTCACTGATGTCATGTCATATTAACCCTCCCCTTTTAAGAGGAAAGTGATGTTGACCCTGAGTTTAGTGGCTTTGAGATGGATGTGGCCACAAGCGGTCGAGGAAATATCAAAAACTACGACAGCAATACATGTGCAATATCCTGTCAGTTTTGATACCACTGGTAGTGTCATCCTGCCAGAATGTCCTATAACCTATGCCCTAAGTAAAGAGAAACGTGTTCGGCATGCCGGCTGGGTGGGTGGCTGATTGACTTTGGCTGTCTCTGTCTGTCTCTCTATCTCCATCTATTTTCATCTATCTCTCACTGTCTCTGTCTCGCAGGTACACATAAATACAGTTATTATACATAGTGTAAATTACCTAGGATAACCCAAAAAATCCAGACAAAGTGCTGTACTGTGCTTGTAGGTCTAAGGCATAATAAGCATGACTGGCAAGTAATACGCATTTTCACTTGTTCAGGAATCAGACGTGACGACTCTGCATCATGCGTAATACCTGTTGGTTCATGAGTGGCTCTCTCTCTCTCTGAGACAGGAAGACAGACAAGCAGAAGAGAGACAGGGAGACAGATAAGCAGAGACAGAGCTAGACAGATAGACAGACATGTTTATGTGTAACAGTGAAAACAAATAAAGGCAAGGCAGTGCATGATCACCATGCTTCAAGGAGTTTCATATATACTCCAGCATGTCTAAAACATTGCTGGGACCTATAGATACTTTGTATATATTTCTACACAATAGTATGTGACCAAGGAAGGTGAAAATGTTTACCAGTCAGTGTGTTTGTGACTTTTTTGAGTATGTACTATTTCAGTACCTAATATTAGTGTCAGAACAAAGATTGGATACGGAGTCACAAAAACTACCACAAACTGTAATTATCAGAACATAAAAATTATATAAATTAAAAAAAAAAGAGAGAGAGAAAAAAGAGGTATATTGGCAACATTTCTGCAAGTGGCAGGACTCCATGTGAGGTGAGGTGAGCATCCAGTGTCAACTTCTCGGTCTTATATCTTGGTAAGTACTGACCCTAAATTGTTTTTTTGTCTCATTATACACAGAAAATTGCCCTCTTTAATTTAATTTTTTTTTTTTCAAAATATTCTGAGCACTGGCAGTGAGAACGTAGATCTATGTTTGAACAGATAACAGGTTAATAAGCATTCTCACAGTGAGCACATACTCACTGTGAGAATGCTTCTTATATTTGCTGAGGAAGTGTTGTACTGCGTGAGTTATCGTGGACTGTACTACATTACCAAATGTGTGTGCAGAGCTTTTTCATGCAAGGAATTGGAGCTCCCCTTCCTTGAATCAGATTTAATTATCAGATGTTTTATGACCCTGATGGGTTTAACACTTCCCCCATGAAAGTACAGCCTCTTCTCACTTGGTGACATACTCGTTTACCAACGCCTCAGAATTACAACGGGCTCTCTGACCAGTATGCATGCCCAAATAATGTACAGTAGACTGTCATTTAACACGGTAGTTACGTTCCTAAAAATGTCGTGTTAGTTAAAAACCATGTTAGACAAACTGAAGAACTTACGGGAAAATAGGGTTACATTCCTGGGAGCCCCCAAAAAGCCAAACACCCTTTTCTTATACCAATAGATCTTACAAAAATAAGAGTGAATATGTAATTGTAGTTCATTGTCATGATATATTACTGCTTAAGACTACAAATGTAATAGAAATAAGAGTATTTCTTACCTTAAATTGTGGGTAATAGTATTTGTGGATGATTGTGAAGAGAGTGGATATGCATGGTGTGGCTCTACTGGGATGAGGTGGATGGTTGTTGGTTGTCGGCAGAAGTGGATGGTAGAGGTTCTGGTACTAAAGTCAATGGTTGTATTGGAGTGTGCATAAATTCTGTAATGGATCTCTGGGCTCTTTTACCCTGCAGTACGTTATACAGCTGATGGTAAGGCATCATCAGCTGTTTCAGAGCACAGTCAAGTAAATCAGTCATTCAGCAAAATAAATCAGTCATATCAGTCAAGTAAGGCAGTCAGTCAAGTCAGTAAATCAGTCACGTCAATTAAGTCAGTCAGTCAATTAGTCAAGTCAGTCAGTCAATAAATCAGTCAAATCAGTCAGTTAGTCAAGTCAGTCAAGTAAGTAAATCAGTCAAGTAAGTCAAATAAGTCAGTCAGTAGGTCAAGTCAGTCAGTCCGTCAAATAAGTCACACAAACTCATATGTTCACCTCATTCTTTTTAATTGCACAAAGTGACATTTCATTATGGCCACAGGCTGTCTCTTGTCTGATATCTCTATTTTCTTAATTGACTCTAAGACTTAAGTGCTTATACCTTTTCTTGCCACTTTCAGCAACACTTATATGCCTGTTGGGTGCCATGATTGCTTGGCTGATTTAAGATATGGCAATTAAAAGATCTAAATGCAACCCACAAACAAAAACCCCACATAGCTCCAAGCAGAGGATTGTTCTACATGCATATGAACCGAAGACTGGGACAAGGGTGGTGGGAGTGGTGGCGAGGGATGGCGGTAGGTCTCCCCCGTTGACTTAATGGTCTAACCCACAGCCAAGCAGTGTATCCCATGTGTGATGCGCGCTCCAAATTTTTTCCCCTCCCGCAAACTGAACCATGCTAAGTTAATTTTACGAAGTGTTATACAGAAATATGCCGCAATTCTTCAATACAGTGGACCCCTGGTTCGCAATACTAATCTGTTCCTGAGAGCTCATCGTAAACCAAAAATATAGGAAAACGAATCAATTTTCCCCATAAGAAATAATGGAAATCAAATTAATCCGTGCAAGATACCCAAAAGTATGAAAAAAAAAAACTTTTACTGCATGAAATATTAAGTTTAATGCAATAGAATAGTAATTACAATACCAACAATAACAATAAATAACGAAAGAATAATTGACACTTACCTTTAATGAAGATCTGGTGATGATTGATGGGATGGGAGGAGGGGAGAGTGTGGATGGTGTTAGCATTTAGAAGGGGAATCTCCCTCCATTAGGACTTGAGGTAGCAAGTCCTTTTCCGGGGTTACTTCCCTTCTTCTTTTAATGCCACTAGGACCAGGTTGAGAGTCACTGGACCTCTGTCGCACAACATATCTGTCCATAGAGGCCTGTACCTCTCGTTCCTTTATGACTTTCCTAAAGTGGTTCACAACATTGTCAGTATAATAGTCACCAGCACGGCTTGCAATAGCTGTCTGAGGGTGATTTTCATCCATGAAGGTTTGCACTTCAAGCCACTTTGCACAGATTTCCTTAATCTTTGAAGTAGGCAACTTCTTCAATTTCTCTCTCCCCTCCTCCGAAGCAATTTCCTCAGGTGTGGCCTCTTGCTGTTGAAGTTGATCTAGCAGCTCATCAGTGGTTAGTTCTTCATTGTCCTCCTCCACCAACTCTTCCACATCCTCCCCACTAACCTCCAACCCCAAGGACTTCCCCAATGCCACATTGGATTCCTCAACTGGCATAGGCTTCTCAGGGTTAGCCTCAAACCCTTCGAAATCCCTTTTGTCTACACATTCTGGCCACAGTCTTTTCCAGGCAGAGTTCAAGGTCCTCTTAGTCACTCCCTCCCAAGCCTTACCTATAAGTTTTACACAATTGAGGATATTAAAGTGATCCTTCCAAAACTCCTTTAGAGTCAATTGAGTTTCTGTGGTCACTTCAAAGCACCTTTCAAACATAGCTTTTGTGTACAGTTTCTTGAAGTTGGAAATGACCTGCTGGTCCATGGGCTGCAGGAGAGGAGTGGTATTAGGAGGCAAAAACTTGACCTTATGAAACTCATGTCCCACAAAGTCGCTCTGACAAATCTGTAGGATGACCAGGGGCATTGTCTAATACCAGGAGGCACTTAAGGTCTAATTCATTTTCAATTAGGTAATTTTTCACACTGGGGGCAAATGCATGGTGTAACCAGCCATAGAAAAAGTCCCTAGTGACCCATGCCTTACTGTTTGCCCTCCACAGCACACACAAAATTTGCCTTGAGGACATTCTTTTGCCTGAATGCTCTGGGAGTTTCAGAGTGATACACCAATAAAGGCTTCACTTTGCAATCACCACTAGCATTGGAACACATCAACAGAGTAAGCCTGTCTTTCATAGGTTTATGTCTGGGAGTGCCTTTTCCTCCTGAGTAATGTAGGTCCTGCTTGGTAATTTTCTTCCAAAACAGGGCCCGTTTCGTCACAATTAAACACTTGTTCAGGTTTTTAATCCTTTTAGCCTCTATGTACTCCTTGAATTCATGCACATATTTTTCAGCCGCTTTGTGGTCTGAACTGGCAGCCTCACCATGCCTAATCACACTATGTATACCACTACGATTCTTAAATCTTTCAAACCAACCTTTGCTGGCCTTAAATTCACTCACATCACCACTAGTTGCAGGCAATTTTTTTACCAATCGTCATGCAACTGCCTAGCCTTTTCACAAATGATTGCTTGAGAGATGCTATCTCCTGCTATCTGTTTTTCATATATCCACACCAATAACAGTCTCTAACATTTTCTAATACTTGCAGTCGCTGTTTCGTAACACAGTTGCACCTTTTGCAAGAATTTTTCGTTTCTTTTGGGCTCTAACTGACTACATGTATCACTTGGGTTATACCATACACTTGATTTAAAACCATGTTTTCGGCCTGTCGACCTTTCCTTCTTACTGGGGAGGCCTGTTGTGTAGGCAAAGCTTTTCACAATAAGATACCTAGCTTAGCTGTTCACAACTTGCAACCTGGTGCTATTCCTGTATCTTTTGATTTCACCGATAACGTTTTCCAAGTTGTATGCGGTCCTCCTTAAGTCAAGTGCACCTGACCTACAGGTTGGGTTGCATTGGCTTAAGCCGGTGACTTTACGTGAGATGGGGGTTCTTTCACTTGACCCCCGCTTATCCTTTGTCTTATGCAATATCTCCTTTCTTATTTCAATTATCCCTTTCTTCTTGAAGAGTTCATTAGTTTCTTGGGCCAAGGGTGGTTGTTTCTTGCCATGAGTGAGTTATTGCAAAACCAACCAAAAACAGTGATAATATGGAATGTACCGAATGTATCCTTAGATGCGCGCACACTGGCTGGCTTGTAAACAGGCACACACGGGGCAGTTCAGGCCACACATGGACACGTCTCGTACGAACCACATCGCACAGCGGGTTTTGTATCAGGAAGCGAGGCAAATTTTCTGCGATATAATGCATCGGTTACCGGATTTATCGGATACCGATAGCATCGCGAACCGGGGGTCCACTGTAGTGCTATAACCAAAGCGTGCCAAACAAAACCGTGTATAACAACGGTCTGCTGTATATTAGAGCTGATTTCCTCTATTCTGTTTATTACAATGTACAGTACACTACTGTATAAACATTTAAAAATATACCAGAAATGTTATAAGTGGTGCAAAGGTGACGTTATAACAATATCAGAGATAGCTGACACAAACCCACTACAATTATAGTATGCTTCTCACTTAGTGATGAATTCATTTACCGACGTGGTCTTGGGAACGGAACTCCGTCGTTAAGTGAGGAGAAGCTGTAATAATAATTACTAACTGTTTAGAATTCAAGTCAATGTTGCAAAATCATGGTTATGGTGAGGAGGGAGGAAGAGGGGGGAAAATGGAAGGGAGGGAGGGAGAAAGAAAAGGAAAAAGAGAGGGAGGGAGAAAGAAAAGGAAGAAGAGAGGGAGAGAGAAAGGAAGATAGGGAGAAAGAAAGGAGGCAGACTGAGCAACTCCAGTAATTGTCGCCACATAATTAAATTTTCAGTGGTTGTAGCACCTTAACTTCCTCTTAATTCATTTTAATTTGTTAGGAAAAATTTCCCCCTTTTCCTTTTGGTTGCACTTTTTCTCAATTTACAATTGTGGCTTCTTGTTATCCCTATTCTATTTTTTTTTTTTTACCTTGCATGTTCATATACTGTACTATACTTCCCCTGTCTCATATAAATACTCTACTTGAACGCTATATTAGTTCCATTTCTGGTGAAACAAATTTGGTAAACAATATTCTTTGGCAAATAAGTGAATTAACCCATAGAACATGATCATATTTATAATCATGATCAGTACAGGGTGTCCCAAAAGTCTCCGTACATAAGGAAAATTAGCAACCTTAGCAAAGTATACCTTTATTTCTTTGTGAACACACACAGACATACCTTTCCCACTCATAGTGAATGCATGTTAACACACTTGGTCAGCAACACTTCCAGTCTTTTTGAATTTCACAGTAAGTTCGGCAACAGTGTTATGTGTGATGTGCTTGCCCTGTTTCCTGTTAAAGTTCATTGCAACCTGGCAACAGCTTCCTGATCCACCCATGAGAATGACTTCTAAATGTTGTTCTTTTGAAAAGACATTCTTAAAGGGTATCTAAAAAAAAAAAATTAGCTATGTATGGAGACTTTTGGAACACCCTGTAGTAAGCTTCACATGAGAAAAAGTAAACAACTGGACATATATTTTGCTCCGTACATTAATTATTCAAATCTGTAGCTTTTAATGTAAGATAATTTTTTTTTAATGGTATGAAAATTCTTGATGCATAATGATAATTAGTAAGAAAAGTATCCCCTGCAGGTGGGGCTGGACAGCGAGGGTGCCAGGAGTGCTGTAAGCGGAGTTTCACGTTTGGGACAGGGTTTCGACACTTCCGGCAGGATACGTCATTGTTTGTACTGCACCTACAGTACCCCAGTTACCACCAATTTGAAAAGTCATCTGCGAACTCATACTGGAGAGAAACCTTTTTCCTGTACACTCTGTCCATATCGAGCCACCACGAAAGTCACACTAATGAGACACATTCGTACACATACAGGGGAAAAACCTTTTGCTTGTGATTTGTGCTCATACCGTGCCATTCAGAAGAGCACTCTTAGATACCATGTTTTGAATACTCATAAAAAAAAGTAATATATTTAAACATGTAGTTCAAATCTTTATTTCTTATATAAATTCTTTAAAAAAAAATTTTTTTCCTTTCTCTTTTAAGTGTATTTAACTTTCTCTTTCTCTCTTTGCATTGTGCCAACATTAACTTATAATTTTTTGTCATTACACCTCAGAGCTTGGGTTCCCTTCTATAATTGTGCTAGCCTTTTTTCAGCTCAGCACAACCATTTACTTGTTTTAAACATTCGCATCATTTTTATAACCAGTTACGAGTGTACATCTTAACCTTCAACCTCTGACAAAATTATTCTAAATAATAATAATATTAGTTATTTTCATATAGTCGGACTTGAGTCCTGGAAATGGGAAATACAATGCCTGCACTTTAAAGGAGGGGTTTGGGATATTGGCAGTTTGGAGGGATATGTTGTGTATCTTTATACGTATATGCTTCTGAACTGTTGTATTCTGAGCACCTCTGCAAAAGCAGTGATAATGTGTGAGTGTGGTGAAAGTGTTCAATGATGATGAAAGTATTTTCTTTTTGGGGATTTTCTTTCTTTTTTGGGTCACCCTGCCTCGGTGGGAGACGACCGACTTGTTGAAAAAAAAAAAAAATTAGTATTGTTTCTTTCCTGTATATTCTGTCTTACTCTGCCAATACTGTACATTATTTTTAGACACTCGTATGTTACAAAATCCAACTACTGGTATATCACGTCATTTTTAACAAAAGGTTTATACAGTGGTAGTCACAACAGGTTTCTGAGGGATAGTGGAAAAGAATTTGGAGGAGGTGAGGTGCCTACAGCTGATAGCTGTAGCTTTTTTAGGCAAAGGAAATGACCTAAACTAATTCAGATGTGTGTATGTAGATCTCCATCTTTTGAATCTTATGTCTCCTAAGGATCATAATTCTAGGTCATATTCTTCATGCTAGTGACACCCTCTCACTCACTCTTCCATACCCCCAACCAATTCACTCATCCACCCTTTTTTCTCCTGCCCTTCTCTTGGCCCAGTATCCCGTTCAAGAGAATGAGTAAGCAAGAGACTTTATGTGTTTGAGTTTACACTACTGTATCCAGTGTACTCTCGTGGAGGGTACATACTGAAAGACACGGTACAGTGGTTTTCCATCTGATAAGTTGCATCCCTGAAAATCATTCGTAATTTGAGTATTCGATTATCAGAACGAGTTTTCTCATAAAAAAAATCTATTCTTTAATGTTCTCTGGAACAGCAGTATTCCATATGTATTTTTTATAGCAATTAACTTTAAAACAACATTCTGTAAACCCTTTATAAATATAATGGACCTCGATATAACAAACTAAATCCTCTTATGAAAATTATATTTTTAACTCCTTTGTTTTCAATGTTTATTGCAGTATACAGTAGACCCCCTACTTTTCGTGATTAATCTCTTCCAGAAGGTTGGCCAAAATATGAAATAGCCGAAAACCGGAATAATATTTCCCATAAGAAATAATGTAAATCCAATTATAATCCACTTCAGACACCCAAAAATATTAACAAAAAATACATTTTATAGAGAATAACTATAGTTTTATGTACAAAAAAAAAAGATGAGAAATAAATATGGCTAATTTTAATGATAAAAGAACATTACATACATATCTTTATTGAAGACTCTTGTTGGTGAGTATTATTTATTTGTAGTCCTAGGTGGACTACATCCCAGGTGTATACCTACCGGCTACATACACTGCAGCCTACAGCTATATTATTATCGTCGACATACCATGTTCACCGAGTTTAATCATTTCTAACAACTACCTTTAGATGCCATCATAAACAAAGGGAGAAGTAATGAATAATTCATGCCGAGAATTGTAAACAAAAGCCTTACATAACAAGGGCGGTTACTGGGCCAACACAGATTCACACATGTTTTCTCTGAAGCCGGACCAGAGAAAACGTAATGTTAACCCTTCTCTGACCCCTCAGTAGCATATAAACACTGCATGTTTATATGCTATGTAATGTGTTTCTTACATAATTTTGAAGAAAATATCATAGATTACAGAAAATGTCTATATTAATGTAAAATAAGACATTTAATGTGCCCAGGAGTGATTATTATTACATATTAGTATTGCTACTATGGTGTTAAAACTAGAGGGACACTCATAGTGAATGAGTAACAAAGGCATGTTTATATGATATGTAACATATAAACATGCTATGATATTTTGAAGAAAATATCATAAATGGATTAATGAAAATGTCTATATTAACGTAAAATAAGACATTTAATGTGCCCAAGAGTGAGTAACGAACGTGTGAGCGGCCCAGCCAGATGCATCTGGTACCAATGATTTCTGAGTGGATGTGTGAAACTCGGGGGAAAATTTTGCCGAAAAAAGTGCTCGAAATCCGAATTGTATGATTTCCGCACCGGCCGAAAACCGGGGGTCCACTGTATCAGTAAATTGTGTGGACACTACTATATTAGGTATACAGCAGAGTACATTAAGTGCCTTTTCTGTGACATTCAACATTACAGTAGGACCCTGTATCTGCAAGGGCTACATTCCAAGAACCTACCATGGATATCAAAATGGTGGATAGTAGCAAACCCTATATATAAGTCCTATACATACCTATTATAAAGTTTAATTGATAAATAATGCACAATAAATGGAGAATTATTACTTTTTCACTGATAGAAAGCATTCATGGCTTCTCTTAGGCTTTGAAGAACTGCCAGTTTCTCTACTTTTGTGCTTTGGTGCCATTGTTATGCAAAATTAAGATGTATTTTTGGGCCGCGGTAAACTGTGGATAACTGAAACCACAGATACTGAATCAATGAATACGGGGGTTCTACTGTATTCTGACTTAATAGACACTCACACAATTCCCCCTCTTATTAAATACTGTAATATGCTAACCTGAGATGGGGGTCTTCTCTTTTTACCTTCCCTTCATTCTTCCTCTCCCCATCTCTCAGATTCATTCCTTCTCAGTCTCTCCTTCTCTTTCCCATCATGTCTGATACAATACTCTTACTTTTGTGGTGAGCACCTTGGTGTGTGGTGTAGTGAAAAATGTGTGTGCAGGTAACATGTGTCTGGGCATGTGGGAGGGTGGTTTGTGATGAGGGTGGTGGGAGCCTGGGTATGTGAGAGGATAGGTTGTGATGAGGGTGGTGGGAGCCTGGGTATGTGAGAGGATGGGTTGTGATGAGGGTGGTGGGAGCCTGGGTATGTGAGAGGATGGGTTGTGATGAGGGTGTTGGGAGCCTGGATGTGATGAGGGTGTTGGGAGCCGGGGCATGTGAGAGGTGAGTTGTGATGAGGGTGGTGGAAGCTAGGGTATGTGAGAGGGTAAGTTGTAATGGGGGTGTTGGGAGCCTGGGTATGTGAGAGGGTAGATTGTGATGAGGGTGGTGGAGCTTGGGCATGAGAGAGGGTGGGTTGTGATGAGGGTGGTAGTAGCTTGGGCATGTGTGAGGATGGTTGTGGTGAGGGTGGCAGGAGCCTGGGTAATTAGAGAGGTGGGTTGTGATGAGGGTGGTAGGAGCTTGGGCATGAGAGAGGGTGGGTTGTGATGAGGGTGGTTGTAGTTGGGCATATGAGAAGGTGGGTTGTAATGAGGGTGGTAGGAGCTTGGGCATGAGAGAGGGTGGGTTGTGATGAGGGTGGTGGGAGCTTGGGCATGTGAAAAGGTGGGTTGTGAAGAGGGTGGTAGTAGCTTGGGCAGCATGTGAGAAGGTGAGTTGTGATGAGCTTGGATATGTTGTTGGAAGGGTTATGAGGTTAGGCACCTACCCAAACCTGTGGTATAGGAGGGAGCTTGGTTATGTGAGAAGGGTTGTGAGGGTAAGCACCTTCACAACTGTGGTATAAGAGTGCTGTGGTAAGGGGCGATGGGTGGCTAGATGGAGAGAGGGCATGTGGTGGGTACAAGAATATGCTGGATTAGTATCAGCATCAGCCTTGAACAGGACTACTATAACTCACCCTCATCTCCCTACATAATTATTATCTCTTGATAATTATTTCCTACCAAACAAATGTGAACCAACAACATATACATAAATGAACATAATAATAATTTCTTTCTTTCTACAAGTACATGTACAAGGTATACTGGCCAAGCTGACATGAATGCTAAATTACTGTATAGAAAGCCGCTTGTTATGCAGGGCATTTTGGCCAAATTAGGCCAGTTTTGTCCCAGGATGCCACCCACAACAGTCGATTAACACCCAGTTACCTGGACCCTCACCGTGTGAAGTGAGAGAGCTTTAGCCACCAGGCCACAGGGTCAACAATCAGTGGCATGGGGCCATTTGGTGAATATATGAAAGTATGGTTGAAAGAAATTTATGTGAAAGTATAGATCATTTGGCAAGATATCATAATTTATTAAATATGCTGGGAAACTAATTTACTGGATTTAAGTTTTGGAGGTGGTATGTATTTTGAAGGTTGGGTCATCATTGGACCATGATATCTGTGTATTTCTGGAAGGGCAACTAGAGAGCAGTAATAGTGGAGAAATAAAGAAATAGACTGAAAACCATAACTCTACCGTATTATGCTGTACTTTTAATTGGTGCCCAAATACAGTATGTGTGTGTTGTAAGAGAACTTGAGTGTATTAGCTTGCCATGTGCATCATATTACCATATATGTACTGTACTGTATAAAATAATCAATACCTTTAATAAAACATCAGGAATAAAACAACATTAAGAAAGCGGTATACTAGTAATCTCAGATTCTTTTTTCATGAGTCAGGCAAAAAATGTGCTGGATGTCAGGGGGATGATGGGTGCAGTAAGAGAACTCAGTAGGTTTAAAGGGATCAAGACTTTTCAACATGCTTCCTCCATACATAAAGGCAATTACCAACAGACACCTGGCTGTCTTCAAGAGGGAACTTTATAAGTTCCTCAAGTTGGTTCCTGATTAGCCAGGCTGTAGCGCATGTGTTGGACTGCGTGCGGCTGACACCAACTGGTCGATCAATCGGGTCAACAACCAGGAAGCCTGGTTTCGGACCAGGCCATGAATGCGCTGACCCCTGAACTTGATTATAATAATAATGTGATTATAATTATAATAAACAACTCCAGATAGGTTTCAGGTATCTGAACTTCAGATTCCTGGTGCCTTGCTGTTCACTGTACTACTTTCAGTGAAATTTTTTTACTTTATTTACCACTACTCATTTGAGTTCCTCCTTTTACCTTGAGATTTGCTTTTAGCACTGATAGGTCCTTCACTGCTCATCTTCATCTGCTCTTCTCTTCCATCCTACCTCATGCTGCAGTGCTGAATAACCCTTATGGGTGTAGTGCTGTACATAATTATAATAATAATTTATTACTGAATGTTAGAAGCTTTATGTTTCTGATAAATATAATTATTATGCAGTAAATAATATTATATCAAGTGAACTATTATAAGGAAAAGTTGATTTATATATTTATATTGTCAAGCTTTTAAGAACTTAGAATTTTTCAGAGGACACCTTTTTTTTTTTTGTTCCATTAGCCATCTCGCACTATCATCAGAATTAAATTACCTCAACTATTGGAATTTGGAATTGTGGGTAATAAAATCCCTGGGTGTGTGGTTGAATTAAAAATAATGGATGCAAGTGTTTGAACATTGTTAATACAGTTCTGTTTAATAAATATAACTCATCTGCTCATATAATTTTAATGTAATTTGCTGTATGATGAACAACTGGACAAAGTGAAAAGTACATAAGAGTATCAGAAATATTAGTGACATAGCCTTAGGAAGGCATGGATCACAACTTTCCACAATGATGCACTTGCACTCTTAATTAAATATAGTTGAAAATTTCTAACTTGAAACAGTGGATAAAGTAAGCATGATACACGTTTTTTTTTTTTTTCATTTCATGACTGAGCAAGATGGGTGTTCCCCACAGGTAGTTCTGGACAGTGATGGACTGATGAATACAGGAAGAGGAGCATCAGGATACGGGAAAGGCTTCACTTCCACCAGTAAGAAGCTGTATATGTGCCCTCACTGTCCATATGTGTCGAATGTAGCGACCAATTTAAGGAATCACATGCGCACTCACACAGGTGAAAAACCATTTAGATGCTCATATTGTTCTTATTCAGCCATTACAAAGGATAATCTTAAGAGGCATATTCGTAATCATACTGGTGAGAAGCCATTTGAGTGTAAAGTGTGCCCCTATCGGAGTGCTGACAGAAACACTCTGATGACTCATATTGTAACACATCATCAATAAAGAAAGTTAGACTCCTTAAGAGAAGAATTAGCAGTATTTTCTAAGCAAGGTCTAGGAGATTATTGTGTTGATTTAGATTGATTTTTTTTTTTTTGTTATTAGAACTAAGTGCATAGTTTTTTGTTGATTTACTGTTTGGTGCGATATTATTGGAATCACAATATCCTTGAAACACTAAGGTCTTTATTTTTCACTGAAATGTACAATATTTCAAAATAAAAATAATGAATATTAAATTGTATATGTTTCCTGTTATGATATACAAAAGCCTGAAGGTGCATGCCTGTACATAAATTGTCATGGACATGTAGTTTCTAATGTGTATCCCTGAAGCCTTGTTTGATCTTCTCAGAATCTAGATTATTTTTCCTCTTGTGAACCCTCATGGAAACTTACACGTACACCCCCAGACATGTTACCTAGCCTGATCCTTTATAAATGTGTTTTCCAACATTGTGCAGTTTTTCTCTATATAATCTTAGGTTAGTACAGTGGACCCCCGCATAACGATTACCTCCGAATGCGACCAATTATGTAAGTGCGTTTGTACGTGTATGTTTGGGGGTCTGAAATGGACTAATCTACCTCACAATATTTCTTATGGGAACAAATTCGGTCAGTACTGGCACCTGAACATACTTCTGGAGTGAAAAAATATCGTTAACCGGGGGTCCACTGTATATACATAATGTTTTTCAGAACTTGTTATTGGATATATCATTTTATTCTGGATAACCATAACACAGATTTTACTTGAATAGGTTTATTTTAAGAACACAAACCTCTGTACTGTACAAGGATTTTTTTTTTTTAGTTTATTGACTTATAGTGTTGTGTAGTGTCAGACTTAATGAGCCACATTAGTTACAGTATATGGTATTTTTTACTGGGCACTTGATATCCTGCAAGTTATGGGGGAGATGGAGGCAGTGGTGGTGGCAACAGGGGTGGCAGTTGTGGTGGTGATGGTGGCAGCGGCGGTGGTGATGGTGGTGGCAGTCGTGGTGGTGTTGGTGATGGTGGTGGCAGTCGTGGTGGTGGTGGCAGTGGTGTTGGTGTTGGTGGTGGCAGTGGTGGTGGTGGTGGTGAAGGCTTTCTCTGCAAGTTAATATTTCTTGTAATTTCTTTTTGTTTTAGCATTTTTTTTAAATTAATACATGGTATCAGTGTAATTGAAGTCATATTTGTGGAAATACAGCTACTTCAGCTAATTGTGTATTAATGATTGTGGATTGAAATTAAAACTGTTCATTGAATAATATAAAGCTTCTTTTTTTATTAAGAATCATTAGAAGTCAAATAGTTTAATAATGTCCTATATCCCATATACTTTCTTTTGTTATGGTCTTTTATGAATATCAGTTTTAACACTATTAGAGTCATTCAGTATTTTATAAATTATTCTGCTGTAAAAGACATCGCCAGAAGTCATTCAACACAACAAATGCAGTGACGACTTTGTGGATGATACATGTAAAAGCCCCCAACCCTCGCTGAGGTTTTTATGCGGTTTACCTCTTGATGATTCTGGGGACTATTGCCCCTGAGAAGTGCTGTCAAACTAAGCCTCTTAATTCATAGCTTGGTCAGTTAGGTAGTTGTTGCTTTCTGCCGGCAGTCACATGTGGGCACCTGGGAACAACAGCTTGGCTGACCAGAAATTGCTTGTGGAATTTTTTAAGTTTTCTCTTGAAGATAGTTAGGACTCTGTTAATAATTTCTCTTTTATTTGGAGGAGTGTTTAATGGCCTTTAACCCTTTAGTGTATTTATTACCCCACAGCTTTTAATTTGCACCACCTGCTTTGTTTCCTGTCTTCATAAGGACTTAGTTCAGTGTTCAGATCTGAAACCAGTGCCTTCAGTATAATTTATATTCCTGTATTCCTTGGTGTACAATTAAAGTGACTATTGTGATATGGGCAGTAAAAGTTTTCTGTACATTGTACAAATCTACAATTTTGGATTCTTTGAAAGGGGTACTTAGTGAACAGGAATACTTCATTCTATAGAGTGCAAGTATCTTAGAGTATATCATAGACTTGTCATCTCTTTGTTTTGAATGTTCTTAGTATCCAGCCTTCATTTTGTAGTTGTGATAGTAACATTAGTATTATGTTCCTTGAGCATAAGCTCTTCCGCCATAGTACTCCAGGTCCCTTACAATTCCCTTTCCACCAGTTAAATACCTTGATTAAACTTTGTATTATGTTCTGGTTTCTATTGCTTCAGTTTTTCAATAGTGGAGGATTGCAGCTGAAGCAGGATACAGACACCCACTAGAAATGGATACTTAACCGTTTCAGTGTCCGTGCCGTAGATCTACGGCTTTATGTTGAGTGTCCAAACCATAGATCTATGCCAAAATTCTAGTGGTGTCAAATTTAGCGCAAGAAGGCTGGTAGGCCTACATCTGAGAGAATGGGTCTGAGTGGTCAGTGTGTGCACTATAGAAAAAATCTGGATGCCTGCATGGCATTGTGGGAATGCCGCCAAAGTAGCATTGTTCATCATGCATGGCGGCAAGGAAACTCTCACTCCCCACTCTCCTGGTGAATTCTGACTCTCCTCTTCACAACTTACAGTTCTAAGACTGATGGAAGTGGATCTGAAGAGGAATTCTATGGTTTTGAACCATATGGTACCATTGTACCATATGGTACAATGGTGCCATGTCATATAATGGTATATGGTACAATGGTACCATAATACATTGTACCATATGGTACATTATACCATATGGTACATTGTACCATATGGTACAGGGTACAAGGAGCCTAATGGAAATAAGTCTGTCTGACTTTTTTGGTTATCCTAGGTTCTCCAAACATATGCTGCTATGTATGATAATCTATGTAACTTTATTTGTGTATGCCTAAATAAACTTACGATGCCACATCTGCTTGAGTAAGTTTATTCAGGTGTACACAAATACAGTTACATAGATTATCATACATAGCAGCATATGTATAAAATCCTAGGATAACCCAAAAAAGTCAGGGTGACTTATTTCCATAAGTATCCCTGTATTTGTACCATATGGTGTCCTGTACCATATGGTACCCTGTACCACATGGTACCCTGTACCGTATGGTACCCTGTACCGTATGGTACCCTGTACCGTATGGTACCCTGTACCGTATGGTACCCTGCACCATATGGTACCCTGCACCATATGGTACCCTGCACCATATGGTATCCTGTACTGTATGGTACCCTATACCATATAGTACAATGTAACATATGGTACCCTGTAACATACGATACTATGTACCATATGGTCAGTTGGAGATGTTGATGGCACCAGGCACCAGCCAAGACTGAGTGAGTGACGACACAAGCTAGCTAGTGACTCCCCAGTTTCCAAGACAAAGCGCTTTGTCATCCACCTCAAGGAACATGTCGAGTGGCTGTACATTTGTATGTAATAGAACATTACTAATATACTACAACATTTTTGCATATTTTTGTTGTAAACAATTATTGTAAACGAAATAATGATGAAACTATTAGTGTGTTTATTGTGTTGAATACAACAGTACCATATAGTACCATATGGTACAATGTACCATATGGTATTGTACCATATGGTATCCATTACACCATATGGTACCATTGTATCATATGGTACCATTGTACCAAATGGTGCAATTGTACCATATTGTAACACTGTACCATATGGTACCATTGCACCCTATGGCACCATTGTACTATATGGTACCGTTGTACTCAACACAATAACCGCACTAAAATTTTCATCATTTTGTTTACAATGAACTTGTAAACAAGTTTTGTAAGCAATATAATGATAAACAAATTAGTGCAGTTATTGTGTTGAATACAATGAGTGTACACTTATACAATATACATTATATTGGTCCCACAGGCCACAACTGTTACTAGAAAAAGAAAAAAATTAGAAAAGAAAAGAAAAAAAGTATAAAAAACGTAAAATAAAAAATGCGATTTTGTGGAAGTCGCTGATGTTGCCGCCACCCGATCATTTTGGGTCAACTTCCCGCCACTGTATATCGGTAAGTACTGATCAGAATTTTTTTTTTGTTTTATTACCTTCACAAAAATATTATCTTTAATTCTGTAAGAGTTTTTTTTTTTTTTTTTTTTTTCCAAAATTTCTTGGACACTGGGGCACCTCTTCAGATTTTGGCCTTGGACTCTGAAAGGGTTAAGAGACTGAGACATATTGAGAAGAGTGAGTCAGAAGACATTATTAGCATTAAGGATGCTGTTGCTTTCAGAACGACTTGAGGAAATAGTAGGAAGATTTGTTCCACAAAAGAGAGTGATTTGTGGAATGGGATTCAGGAGGAGATAGTCAATGTTACAACCACTGAAATATTTAATAAATAATGTAAAATTAGTGAACATGAGATACCATGAACACAGTTTTACTCATATAACTACAAATAGTTGCACCTTTCACAATGAAGTACACCATTCAAATGAAACCTTGAGACAGCACCTGAATTCTGGAGTTTAATACATATGGCATATTTAATTATTGGCTAAGTACTTGGTCAACTAGGTTGTTGCTGCTGGTAGTGCACAGGCATACATAACCATCATAACCTGGTTATGTCATTTTCTATATTTACTGTTTTATTTTCCACCACCCTTCCAAAGCAGTGTTGTATAGCTCACAACTGTAGTGCCATTTTTTTTAGTATAATAATTTTTCAGTTTCTTTTCTTAAAAGCTTCTTTCTCTGTACCCACATACACCATATAGGTGAGTATCCCCAATAAAGAGTTGGATGTGTGAAAAGCAGTGAGCCTGGTTAAGAGCTTGGCATGCATAATAAAGGGTTGGGTAGGCACTCTGAGCTATCTAGTTGTGCTGGCTATGTATGCCTGCTGGTTGCTGGCAGCAACAGCCTTATTGTTCAAGCAGTCAGCATTAGTCTGATCTCAGGCTGGGTTTTGAGAATAATACTCTCAAAGCTAGTCAAAGGTATGTCACAAACACACACAAAAAAATATTAATTTCATGATGTTAACTCAAAAAGTGTTACTGAAAAACTTTCCTGGGCAGCCCCCTGTGAATTTCCAAAATTTAGTAGATACAGTACAGATTCGCCATCACAAATCCAGCAAATCAGACACCCGGTTCCATCAGTTATTCGACACTAATTTCAGCTACGATAATTTCAAATTTCCAGGGTCACCACACCAATCTGCTGGTACTGTTTGGTGGTGCTACTTGCTGCATAAGTCATTCCAATTTCTTTTTCTCCATTTATTGTTATAACCTGCATACTTTTAGCCCTAGCCATAGTTCCAGTGAATAAAAGAAATGCTTCTCGTTGTGGAAAGCACATACACAATACATTGTCCATAAAAGATAAGGTGGCTTTGAAGCCACTGTCGATTGCCATGAGCTCAGTCTCATGATGCAGAGGAATATGCTTTATTATTATGCTAATATCAACACTACGGCTTATTTGCCTATCACAGTTGATCTAATATGACATAATAAACAATATAAATAACATAAAAACATGTTAAATACTCCAGAATGAATAATATTAGGCATAATACTGAGCGGTTCGACAGAGGTATGAAGAGGACATGGGATACAAGTACCATTCTCCTATCCCTGTCTTGGGGGCTTATATTAGAGAAAATGGAGTATAGCACAGGGCTAACTGTGATATACACCTTATTACACCATAAAACTGAAACTAAAGAGCTATTTTCTCTACATAGATTATCATACATAGCAGCATATGTGTAGAGAACTTAGGATAACCCAAAAAGTCAGACAAAGTGACATTTCTAGTACCTGGC